ATGGCCCTCTTGATAATGTAGGAGATTCATAACATCTATAACTTCATTTTAATTTTTAAAAGGTAGAATATCAGCAGGGTTTTTATTTCTTATTAAGTAGCTTATGCACAGCAGTTCCATGGTTTTCTGGGAACGTGTATTTTGACTTTTGTTGATAACGTATTTTTCACAAAACAGACATTTATTCCTGTGTTTCTGCATGGAAAATTTCTTCTCAGACGTGCCTATTGAAACTGCAGATAGTAGTGTATTTTAAAGTGCAACTTTTGCAGTGAAGCCAGCAGGTTTAGTAAAAAAAAAAACTGAAGCCACAGGTTTAGTAAAACCCCCAGAAATGGGGGTTTTGGTCTACAATTCTAATTTCAATGGAAAAATTTTCCTGATGTGACTGAAAGTCACTGTCTGCACTCCTGGCTTTCTCCACAACCTTAATTAAAAAATTATTTTGTTATTTACCAGGCAGTAATATACTTTTGATGTATAGCAAATACTTATGGTTTCTGTATAGTTATTGTGGCTGCTCTACTTAGAAGTTAATCAAGGGTATTTGTTGAGTCAGAAATAAAGTCACACAGGATTAATTTCTTAGCCTAAAATGTGGTAGTTTGCTGAAATTCACTTTTTTTCTTTAATTCTCACCTTTATTTGACTTCTTAATTCTCACCTATTTGACAGCTATCTTCAGTATTGCTTATCCACATCTGCTACAGTTTCAAATCCTTTGAGCTATTCCTTTTTGTGTGCATAGTCATTCTTGCTTTTCCTTGCTCTGAGAAGTTACATCATCCCTGCCTTTAGTCCTTCTCTCCAGTAATAGGGGTTTTTATTAGTTGCATTTAATATCTGGAATTAATAAGGAAAGCCAGATGGAAAGATACAACAGTCTGAGTATTTGAGTGACCATAATGTTAGCAATCATAAATGGGAGGAGATGCCCAAGTTTTTCATTGTTATACAAGTCCAGGTAGTTGTGTTAGTCATCTGAATATTGTCTAATGAGATTACAGTATTGTGCTTGTAATCACAATATTGATATAAATTGTATAAACTTTGAAAGATGCCCATGCTGTCTCTGGTAGTGAGCCATGTCCATTTAGAGCACAGAGACATGAAGCAGATATAATTATGGTTCAATGAATGTAAAGTATTCTTGCTTTTGACTGAAAAGCCATTCTTTTTCAATGCAATACAGTATTCTTTTACATTGGCCAAGTCTTTACTTATATGTACAATTTAATAAAATTATTATCCTACATTAAAAATCAGTTAGAAGTAAAATTCCTTTACTACACTATTCCCATTGAAAGAAGAATTCGCTGGTAGAGAAGGACCAGGGGCAGAGACAAAGTGAAGCAAAATGTTGTGGTGATCCTCTCTCATAAACTTGCCTTGGCAAGCCAAGCTGAAATATCAGACAGACAGGCAGATACATGTTGCAGCTCAGTCATCAAGCCTGATCAGAGACTAAATATGCAATTGGAAAATATTAAATAGCCAGTCCCCATTTATTATGTATACTTATTACACATACACATACAATTATAAACTGCATACATTTCTTACATATAGCCAATGGCATTTATAGGTGAGTGTCACAGGTTGCAAAGTTTCATTGACATTAGAATAATCCCACTGTTTTAACAGTAAGAGTTTTAGAAGGGATCATTTACAACAAATAGAAGTTTATTAAATGTGATTATTGGCTCCTGCATACAATTAATATTCAAGGAGAAATTACCAGAAAGTAACTTGAGCTTCTAAAATCTATTTTAAAACTGTTTCTCAGGGCTGCCAATATAATTACAATCAAAAATCAATTTGTGTAATCACAAATTAACATTGTGCTACAAGGTCTAGGAGAGATTTGCTACATCTCAGTGAAAGCTGAAATTAAACTAAGTTTATTTTTTCTAGAGATAATAAATGGAATCTGCAAAGACCTTTTTGTACAGATAAGCAGTGAGAGGCAACCACCTGCTCCTTCTGCTAAAGGTTTATAAAATTATTTGTCAGCTGGCATCTAACAAGTGTGATATATATTCAGTACCCATTAACTTTATGGCAGAGTACACTTTGCCGTGCTTTGTTTCTTTTAAAATGGCAATTCTAAAAAATCCCAGGAACTTATGATCAAGAGGGCTGTCCAGTGCAGTGCCATCTTCCGCTGTTCCAGGATGTGATGAGTGTTTGGGCTTCCTTTTGGTTTGCATTTTGTATGTTTTGGGAGGGAGAGGGAAGGAGTTGGCCCTGTTATTGATGTTGAATCTTTCTGAACATGTCACTTTTCAGATTGTTTCAGACCCCTTCAGTTTTCAATCTAAGTGTCTTTGTGGCCACTCTGTATATGGTCGTTTTTTCCAAGCTTGTCACTTACCTAAAAATAGCTTTTCTCTTTCTCTCTTGCTCAGGTGTAAGGCAGCAGCACGGCGAGAAGTCGATACCATGGATACATTTGTTGATTCTGCTTGGTACTACCTGAGGTACACTGACCCTCACAACACGGACAGGTGAGGGCTGCAGGCACAGGGCCATCAGGGGCAGGCCTGCTTTAGAGAAAAGAAGGGAAGGAAGAGACCAGACATTCCGGTGCTTCCAGCTTCTAAATGCCTTTACAGACGATGGTGTAAACTCTCACACTGCTCTCATTGTGTGCCTGCCCCCTGGCTTGAGCACCGCACAGGGGAGATGTTGTGGCTTAACCCCAGCTGGCATCTAAGTACCACACAGCTGCTGACACACTCGCCCTCCACTCCCTGTGGGCTGGGGAGGAATCAGGAGGAGAAATCAGCTCCCTGTGGGCTGGGATAAGAACAGTTTAGTAATTGAAACAAAGTAAAATATTGTAATAGAAAGGATAGGGAGAGAGAGAAAACTCAAGAAAAACAAGTGATGCGCAATACAACTTCTCTCCACCTGCTGACTGATGCCCAGCCCTTCCACAAGCAGCGACCGGTGCCTCCCAGCCAACTCCCCCAGTTTATGTAGTACATGACAGCCTATGGTATGGAATATCCCTTTGGCCAGTTCAGGTTAGCTGTCCTGACCATGGTTCCTCCCAGCTTCTTTTGCCACCTGCTCACTGGTAGAGCATGGGACACTGAGAAGTCCTTGGCTTAGAGTAAGCACTGCTGAGCAACAACCAATACCTCACTGTGTTATCAACATTATTCTCATACTGAATTCAAAGTACAGCTCTGTATCATTTAGTAGGAAGAAAGTAAACTCTATCACAGCCAAAACCAGGGCAATAGACTAGGAGCTGGTCTAAAAATGTGGCATTTCGTTGCTCCCATGCCAGGAGATGTACAAGGACAGGATGTGTAGACACTACTGTGTAAGCACAGGAGCTACAGGGCAAGGGGCAGAAGTTTGCACAAAAGCACATTATGGGGCAGGGCACAGAGGAAATGTTCAGATGAGAAGCTGAAAACAGTCCTTAGCAGAGGGTTCCATCAAGAATAACAGACGACCTGCCATGACTCTCTGAGACTGTGGTAAGTTGCATAGAGTGTATCCTCTCTGGCAATGGACTGAGCAGTTCAGTGTGTGGACAGACAGTGGTGTTCCACTGGTAAGAAGAGGAATAGTCCAGTGTAACATCCAGCTGCCAAGAACAGCACCTTCATTTCTCTCCTTTTGAATTCTAGTGACTCTTCCTACTTCCTTGTGCGCAGACCTCAAGTGAAGTGGCATCACAGCAAGCTCCTGCTGTGTCAGCACTTCCACTACATGCAAAATTAATGAAAGGAAATTTTTCATGTGCTATGCACTAGTGGCTGGAGAGTGTGGGAAGGCAGATGTAGTTATTTAGCTGTTTTTCTGCTTCATAGTCTGCTTTAATAGCGCTGCTTGATAGCACTGTTTTTTCCAAAGAGTAATTAGTGCAACATCCCTACTAAGTAGTCTGTGGAAGACAAAAAAGGGTTGCATTTTAAAATATTGATACCACATGTAGGGTTGTTTGGGCGATTTTTTATTTATTGTGCAGAGCAGTGTCTGGGAACATACTACATATACCCAATGACTTAGTATTGCTGGGCGAATTATTTTTTTTTTATATTTGCTGCACTAGTTTAGTTAAACTAAAGAAAAATCTTTTGCAAACACTGTTATTTTATGCTAATTTTAATTATTTTCTAGATAGCATGAATATATTATTATTATTATTACTGAGTTAGGCAGACTGCTTTCTCTCCAGTGACAGTTTGACAAGAGGAACTTTTCCGGAAGTTGAAGAAGAAATAGTCAGATGTAATATTCAGCTGTCAAAGTAACAGCTTAGAGTAGCTAAATCAGTTTTATATTGAAATGAGAATGTTCATATGGTCTGCTGCAATAAATTGCTACCTGTATTTGGTTTATTTAGTTAGTTTTTTTAGCTAAGCTAGGCACATGTAAACCCTTCATTTCCATAAGCCATATTTCACTGGTCTGCAATTTGCAAGAATTACTCTACTGATTTTGGAACCCTATGAACAAGTTAGTTTTGATTTGTTCCACTAAAGACATGAATCCCAGATCCATTATTTTCTTCTGGGCTGATCTGTGAGGAAAAACGTGTTGCTATTACAAACATGACAGAGGGAATAATTAGAGAGACTGACAAAACAAGTAGATTTGTTGTTAGAAACTGGTCATAAAGAAGAACTTCTATAGAAATGGTATTTTTGAGGCAAGAGCCCATTACAAGAGACATGGCAATATGTAATGAAGCAGTAAGCAATGCTAGGAAACCATGCAGATGACCTCCAACGGCATAGTAAATTTGCTGTAAATGACAAATTTACTGTCATTTCATCGAGCTCCCTTCAGTTGGAGTGCGGTGACACCTCTGACTCTACAGAAGGTTCTGTAGCCTTAAACTGCGTCATTGCCCCCTAATGGTAACAATGCAAACCTCCGATTAAAAAAATCAACTGTTTTTGAGTGGACATGCCTTTCGTCTTTCACTTTAATATATTTGTATGTAAAACTTGATAAATGCTTGAAAATGTAAAGCTAGCCACAAGGTATTTATAAAAGAAGTCGTTTAATGAGCAGGCAAATCTTCTTATCACTTTCTCAGGTACTATATGTGAAGTCTTAGTTGCTCACCTGAAATATAGGAGAATAGTCTCTTTGTGGATCTGCATCTCAGTGGAAATTAAATTTTTGTCTATAATAAGCATTTCACTTCTTAAAACATTAAAAATATCTGATAGTAAAATGAAAGTTTTATCACACATGTATTGCTCTTGGTAAACAGAGTTGTCCAGTCAAGTATGATGAGCTACTTTAGTAGCACTGGTCTTTCTTTTCCACATTGTATTTTTTCTGTAATTGTGTTTTTTCAGGCCCTTTAATAGTGACTTGGCAGACTACTGGATGCCTGTGGATTTGTACATCGGAGGAAAGGAGCATGCGGTTATGCACTTATTCTATGCAAGGTTTTTCAGCCATTTTTGCCATGATCTAAAGATGACAAAACACAAGTAAGCCTTATATATTTCTGTAAAAGTCGTCCATATTTCATTTAACTAGTGAGAGTATTAGTGAACATTGTTATGATGGTAGGACATTACATTGAATAAGTCTGAATTTTCCTACTTTGTCAGTACTTGGTTTCTCATAGTCAGTTGCACTTTCTGTATGTGTACATACATAACATTTTTATTGCAAGAGTATTAACTGGCTCAGAGCAAGTGATAAAATGCTGGTGTAGATTTTCAGCCTGCAAAAGCATGCATAAACTAGTAACTTCAGGGATTCTGACTAGTGCTATTATTTCAAATTAGGTAACTTCCTTTCAGTAATACCATTCATTTCAGTGGAACCATGTATATGTAGAAAACTAAGCGCTTCTGTAATTCACTGTAGTATTGAAGCTGAACAGTGTAAAACGTGTCTTGATAAGCAAAAGCAATATGTTTTTCTGCTGTCAATTTGTTTTAGAGGTAAAGTTTGGTGCAGGATGATGAGTCATCTGTTGTTCTGTTCTTTGGCCTCTCAGATAGGTTCTTAGCTTAACATCCCCATTTCCACTGAAATTCTGCCCTTTTGTACCATAAAATGTCATCCCAGTAATGCCTCAGCTTGGAGGATACTAGTGTCAGAACAATGAAATGCTGCCCCATGCTCTCTCCTGTTCTCCCAAACGAAGAGAGGATTGAATAAATTGAGTCAATATGAGTGACCCTATGAGAAGAACTGCTCAGTAATTTCTCAGCTGGCAACTCATATAAGCTCATTCTTTACTAGTATCCCCTCTAAAAACTTGATGTAAAAGAGGAGCCTACATATATATGGCACTGAACTCACTCAAACACAGTAGTTTTGGTCCAAAACTAGAATTTAAGCAGCTTTGAGCCGGAAAAAGATGGACTAGTTAGTGGAGCCAAGCAGAATATTTCCCCAAGTCATTTCATAATAATTTGATGAAAGTAGACAATGTGTTTTCATAACTCGTTCTTGCCTGCAAACAGTTTGCTGTAAATACTGTATTTGAAATTTTGGATGTAGACTATTTGTGTTCCCTCTGTTGCCTCTAGCTTGTGCAGCTGCAGCAGGAAGGCTAGTTCTTCTCTTACAGAGTGGACCCTTTCTCTCAGAAGCACTATTCCTTTAAGCAGAGAATTTCAGAGCTTTCCCTTGCAAGAAAATTTAGGCTTATTAATTCTACAAAAGACTTTACAATCCTAATCCATCAGCCATCTAGTGGAGCTGTAACACACAGCAGCAAAATGTTCTCTTGCTAGTCAAATTCTTCCAACTCTCTAAATGACATTAGCTGTGGCTGAAGTATTGTCAATATAAAGTGAGATTACAGTGCAGGGGAGATGTTTTTGCAAAGTAAGTGGTCCACTTTGGTGTGCAACAAAACAGGGAGGCTTTCAGCTTGACTGAAAAGGGACCCTCCACATGACCTTAAGAACCAAAAGCAGCACAAGGAAAGTGGAAGCAAGGATGAGCTACCACTGGAGAAACATGGAAGCATTGACTAGGCAGACAAAGTTGAATTAGGAAAGGCCATAGCTCGTCTAGAATTTAAACTGGCGAAGAATGCGAAGGCAGTAAGAAAGACTTCTACAGATACATTGAAGAGAACATCAAAGAAAATGTTGGCCTGAGGCAAAATCAGACAAAGAGCCTAAGCAGCAAAGGACAGCCTTTGCCTTGACATTTCCTGTCAAGATCTGTGCTTAGTAGGAGAGTTTGAAGGAGAGAGATACTACCCACTGTAAAGTAGGATCAAGTTAGGGATCACTTAAGTAAACCAGACACATACAAGTTCAAGGCACGTTTATGACAAGGTGACTGGGAGTAGCCACCATGGATTTACCAAGAGAAAATTATGCCTAACTTAATCTGCTTTCCTTCTATGGTGAGATGATTCCATCTGTGGATGAGGAGAGAGCTGTGCATATCTTTTACAACTTTAACAAGGCTTTTAACAAATTCTCCCATGGCATACTTGTAGTCTGACTGGGGAGGTGCAGGCTGAGTGGGTGGACTGCAGTATGGATGAAAAAGCTGTTTGGACCATCAGATTCAAAGGGTCAATGTTCAAAGTTAGCTGTTTGCAAGTGGTATTCCTCAGGAGGCACCACTGAGACCAATATTATTTTACATCTTCAGCAACAACCTTGGCAGTGCAATAAAGTGCTCACCCTCAACAAGTTCATTATCACTGCACACTGAGAAAAGCTATGCCATGCAGATGACTTTGATGAGGGGAAAAGCAGGTCTGAAATCTGAAGACAAGGTTCTGGATTGGACATGGAGCAGATTACCCACAGAACTAGGGCTGTGCCATCTGTGTGGGGAGGATTGCAACAGAGAAGGGCTTTAGGGATCCTGATGAACAGCAAGTTACATGTGAGTCAGTAGTCAGCATGACAGTCTGTTCCACTGTGTTAGCAAAACCATGTTCAGGTTTGGTTATCTCTGCTCATCGTTCAGGAAGGCACATCTAGGATACTGTGTCTAGTTTTGATGCGCCCCCCCTCTCCCTCTTCCCAGTGTGAGAGACACTGTCAAACTGGATGTAGGGGATGAGCATTAAGATATTCAGGGCGTGCAGCATATGTCGGAGAAAGAGAGTCTAAGGGAGTTGAGTGTGTTCCGCATGGAGAAGAGAAGGCTAAGGAGGGAATGTAATTCAGTCTACTGCTACCTAAAGGAGGTTTATAGCTCAGACAGAATCAGACTCTGTACAGAGATGTACAGAGAGGGGACAGGAGTAACAGTCACAGATTGCAGCGAGGTTCAGCTAGACAGAAGGAAAATAGTTTTGACTATGAAGGTGATGAGACTGGAATGATTTGACCAGAAACATTGTGGTATTTCCATCATCAGATATTTTTAAAACTCAGCCGAATGGGACCCTGAACAACCTGAAGTTAGGTGTGATGTGAGAAAAGAGTTGCACCAAATGACTTCCAATCTAAGGACTCTGTGATTCTGCAGCTGTATTAATTTGGAATGTGTTTTGTTCACCCTCGGCTGTGACAGAGCAGTAGCACAAAAGCTGTGTGTGTACCATAGACTGGTCTAAATATGGTAGATTGCAGAAGAAAACTCTTAACTTCCAATAAAAAAAATCTAGAGAAATAGCAGAAAAAAATCAAAATTGCTTTCTGTAGAAGCAGTTTGGAAGACTATGAAGAATTCCTTTAATGCCATATAGAATCTGAAGAACTGTGGCACATGTGAAGATATGTATGTTATAGCACTGCCCTGCGGGTTGGTTGTATGAACTGCTTTGACATGTGCTCAGACTGCAAGATGATTGTAAGAAATTCATCCTCATGCACAAAACTGTTTGCGTGCTTTAGCTCTATGCATGTTACTGCGTTAGGTGCTTTGAAGCCATGAAGTCAAATTAGGATTTTGTTTTGATATGGAAATTATAACTCCTTTATAAATATTTCCATGTGTTTTAAATGTTTTAGCGTTGGTCAGAAGCCACTTTTGCTCAGTCTTCTGTTTGAACTGCTCAAGGGCTAGCCTCAGAGATTGGAAAAATGTGATTAGAAACAACAGGCTTATTGTTAGGAAGCTCAAAGTCTCGGTTTCGAAACCCACAGTTCTGGGGGAAGACATTAAAACGTTAAAAAACACTGCCCCCTAGTGCATTTTCAATCTTTCTCTAGTAGCTTAGGTCTTGTTCACTGATTAAATTAAGAAAATTCTGCTATGTCTCAGTTAATGAGAGCTGCCACTGTTTAAAGTGTTATCTAGCATCCTTACAAATTTTTATGATTCCCCTATTTCTCTGTAGTAATTTTTCATTTTGATAGGATTTCTTGGTGGAAATTTTCATTGTTAGGCTCCTATCCTCTGACTTTCAAATCCATTGAAATATTTCCTGCTAGTCTTTAATTCTGTATTAATGGTTATTAATATAATAATGTGGTTGCAAATAGATATTAAAAATCCATAGTGTAGATTTTTAAAGGAATCTCTTCAAACATGGTGCACTGATTATTATTGTAGAAATATTTCAGGCAGTGTGTATAATAACATGGGCATTTACAGACATCACACATGCTTTCATAAGAAATTAAAGTGTTTGTAAGCATTTAAAATTGTACAGGTGTCAATATAGCTTAAATATCCCCTGAAGATGAGGCACAATCTTTTATTTTATTTTTTAAAGCATTGGACTGAAGATGGTGGAAACTGTTCCTCATTTCCTCAGTAATGACAAGGCAGAATAAATGGCACCCTCTGGGTATTCGTACATGTGATCTCAGATTAAGCCCAAATTGATGTCAATTTGATTTAGCAATCTGGTCTGTAAAGTGCATTGGTTCTATAATTAATTCACAAGCCAGTGAGCCCTCCCAGCTGTGACCACCACGGGGAGAGGGCCCAGGTAAGGAGCTGGGGCCAGCAAACTCCTCATCTGTTCCAGCTTAATCCACCATGGTGAGTGTGTGCTGACATACTTGGTTACACCTGCTCAACTGTATTACTGCAAGTACGAGTTACACAGAATCTGGTCCTTCTCTAGACATCAGTAATCAGTTCTGTCTGATGCGTAAGTTGGAAATGGAATCTAGCACATTCTCCCTGAAGGATTCCAAAAAAGTTTATTGTTGCCATTAAGTCAGCAGATTTGACTGTGATAGAGAGCAAATCTGCTGAGTAAGAAGGCACTTTTTTCATATAATGCATTACAGAATAAAAGAAGCTATGCGTGTGACAGAAATAGCTTATTCTGTGAAGGAAGGATGTTAGAGCTGCTCTGCATTCATTTGGGACCTTATCGCTAGTGCTGATTTTAAGTAAAGCACTCAGCTGTTGACTCTGTAGAATCTTGAATATTCAATATTGTATCATCCTTTTTCTGCATAAAATGATCAGCTTCCACATTCTCCAATCACTTTCACAAGGTTGCTGGGTTGTTCCAGCTAGATCTAACAGCAGGTTTCACAACCCTGTGAACTCAGCTGATAGTAACTGACCAAGGTCTTGTCTTTACTCCAGGGCACAGCATCAGGCTCTCTCGGCCTTTCTAAAGGTGCACGGTGCAAATACATGCAGGGAGCCCTTGCTAGGGCTATCCCTTCTTCTGAATCCACTATTTATAACTGTGGCAGGTTCCACAGAGTCCTTCCAGCCAGGTCATTTGTAGTTTTATTGAAAGTTCTGCTCACCTTGCACAGAGCGAAGCAAAGAGCATTGAGGACACGGCACTGAGCAGGAATTCCTGATCTGTCAGTCATACTTGCCCTACTATCCATTGCAGGGTCCTGTATATAGAGATGAGTCCGTCACAGAGATGAACTTGTACATGAACAGTACAGAAAGGGAAAAGATGGATTACACACTTCATGGCAAGCACAGCTGATCCTTCTTAGAGGTGTCAGACAGACTTCACAGGTGGGACATACAACATGATCAAAAGCTGCACACGACCAAGGTCTCAGTGCTCATACTTCAGCATGAGCACAAACCAACTTCACAGACCGGTGAAAGCTTATGCCGTTCCAGCATACTTACAGTCTGAAATGTGATTAAGCATTCAAAGAAACTCCAGACACCTCTTCATTTACTGTGCCAGTAATGTCAATGTGTCTAAGATGGCTTAATTTCCATTGTTCACAGTGGTTTAGATCAGGAGGTATTTATGATGCCGTGACTGGGTGCTGCAGTATTTAGATCAGAATTTCATCACCTGCTGTGCCGTGGCCCCTTGGCAGTTCCCTTCCACAACCAAGCAGCGCATTGCTGTCTTCAGAGGGGAAGGTTTGAGGTGTGCGGTTTTATCCATGTAAATCCAAGTGTAGCTCTGCATGTGAACATGAGATGGAGCCACCACAACACTGGCAAAATCACTGTGCATTTCGGGAGACATTCAGTGAAGAGCTTAATTTGTTTCTGAGCCCTGTGTTTATTAGATGGGCTCTGGCTTACTCATTTTGGGCATGTCTCCATTCTCCTGTGGTCTCCCACTAGGAACACGTGGTGGAGGGGTGTTTCCCCATACTTGGTAATGTATTTTGTATTGCATTTTTGTACTCTCTGTCAGCATAAACAAAAATAAGAAATGCTCATTCCCACATTCAGCTTTTAATAACTTGGCATATGATCTGAACTAACTCTTTGTCATTAAAGTGTTCCTTGAAAAATCACTTCCAGTGGAAAGCCCTATCTGATTTGGATGGTCTGGCTACCTCATTAGCTTTATTTTAGATAGCAGGAAGTGTAGCTATTTTAATAACTGTTTAAGATCTTAAACAGATTGAAGTACTGAATGACAGAGAGGGAAATTATTTTTATTTTTCTTTGGTGTAATGTCTTTAGTTTGTAGAAAAAACTTATCCTGAACTGTTATCTCCTGGAGCAACTTCCCACCCTTGTTGTTCATAGAATTACAAAGTTTTTGCTCCAAATTTTCACCTTCTAATTCTGTGATAATTTTTTGAAATTTTAGATGATTTTTTTATCCTATTTTTAAAATACTTTTTTTTGTTTGTACTGTCTAAATTTTACTCCAGTTCTCATCTCCTAAAGTTCCTTTACTTTGTTTCTAAACAACAAGATTTTTCAGGCAAAATGTGAAATGCTGTCTAGAAAATATTTGTAAGAGATGTTTGAATTGCTGCTCTTACTTAACATTGTTGATAAAACCAGGCAGCATGGCAGAGACTCATACTTCTTTGTGACTGAATGATACATCAGTATGTACCAGTACTTGCACAAGGAAGGTAACTCATGTTTAAACATGAATATTTTTAAGGTAAAATATGAAGCCTATCACTTTCTCCCAATTTAAGGTTTTGTTTTCAGATATATCCTTACATCAGAGTCATCAAAAGGGTTTAATAACTAATACTTGGAAGATATCTGCTTTAATATGGTGAAAACATTCATGATTGTTATATAATTTATTAATGCTTTAACTGTACTATTAAATAAACTACTGTGTTTTAAATCATGAGATAAATTGTCATATAATTTGTTGTCCTAACGCACATTTGTATATCCTAATAATGTAAAATACTAAATTAACTCCTTAAAAGTGATTAGTGTTTTGGATTATGACTTTTTTGTACATGTGAAGTAAAATGTGGAAGTCTGCTTTTACTATTTTTTCTTTAGGGGGATTTATTCTAACTTTTTAAAAACTAGGAAATAGTGATACATCCTTTTTACATAAGTTGTTTTGTACATATTTGAGGCTTTGTTAGGTGCAAGTGTGGAGAATTCAGATTGCTTAAAGTTGAGCACACGTGTGAGCATCAGGAGGTGCAAGTCAGTAGTACCCAGTGCTGATTAACGTGTCCTCCAGAATGATGGTCACTGATGTCTCTGTGCTGGAGGATCCCATGAGAAGGCTCCCACACTGTGTGTGCCTTTTGGGACTGGCTCCATACCTCCTCCCTGACCCCTGCTGTTCTTGAGGCTGCTGTTAGAACTGCCTTACTTTCCTGGATTATTGAGAGGGGACCAAAGGCTCTAGAGATTAATTTTGTTGTCTCTTTTTCTGTGAAAACAGGGGCAGACTTCTGACTTAATGCATTAGAAATGCGAGGTCATTAAAGGAGGTGGCTGCTATAACATATCTGTCAACCAGAGCAGTGTTTACTTAGAGTTTATTTCTTGCTGAGTGCAATATTTCCCTTCAAGGCTCTTTCTAGCCCTATCATACATGCATTTGGTGACAGTTTACTCTTCCTGATGTAAATTTTGCTAGAAAAGTAAAGTTTCAACATTCAAGTTGCTAAAAAATTGATGCACTGACATACAAACTTTCCAGCATTGCATACACTTTTTCTAGGGTATTTTTTTTTGTACAGCTAGGCCTTCGTGGCTAGTTCTGCGATGGGACAAGGCATGCAAGTGCTTATGTTAGAGAAACGATCTTATCTCTATAGAAAGAAATGTGGAGCAACATTTTGATTTGTTCAAAATACTGTGCTCCTCAGAGAGAAGCAAGAACTAAATATTTGTAAGACAGTGAGGCCAGGTACTTGAATGCTTTTATGCAAGTGATTTAGCTTGAAGTTAGGGAAATTGCACAGTTGGCCAAGAAATTTCTGTACATTATCCATATGCTAATTTGAAAAGTGACATTAGAATAACTTAGTACTAAATCAGGGTGCAAGAATGTGTGTGGAATGCAAATAAATACTTATACTTGCCAGCCAGCCACCATGAATAAATGCACAAAGTACTCTTTCTAAGGTGGCAACTGTTTATGATAGTCAGCTTGAAATTCTTGTTTCATTAAATACTTGTGCCTGATTGGCTCGACACCTGAGGCTTATCATAAAGTATGCTCTTGACAGCTCTTTTTAAGAGTTTCTTTTTCCTTCCATCCCTAGGGAGCCTTTTCATAAGCTCTTGGTTCAAGGTCTTATCAAGAATCAGACATTCAGACTAGCAACAACAGGCCAGTGTTTGAAGAGAGAGGAGGTTGATCTCACTGGTAAGAGAAACTACACGGGAAAATCGACATAGGTGCATCCAGGGACTTCTTCAGTGTACAGGTCTTAGTGCTGGGAAAATTTGAAAGAGAAAATGAATCCTTGTAATATTTAAATTTGTGAGCAACTTCTGTGAGCTTTGGATTCATATGCGCTGCTGAGTGCACAGAGATCCTACTAATCCAGCAGCTTTTAATTGCATCCAAACACAGAAACAGTGCTATGTTATTATTTTAGCTCCAGTATAGTCCAAAAGATCAAAGTCACTTTTGTTAAGACAATGATCAGCAGCTTGCTGAATGGAGCTTGTAGTCCCAGTAAACAGACAGCCTACAAAAACATCATGGCAAAGCTAACACAGATGCAGTAGATATTAGGCATGTAAAGGGTGTAGGAAACAATGCTGTTTCTCAAGTGCTTTCTGGAGCCTTCGCTGCATAAGCTGGACCAGCAAGTCCTGCCTATGGGACCTGTAGCAACAAAAGTGGTTTGGTCATATACACTTTCCTTAAGCACTCCTGTTGTGCAACCTTGCTTTTACTGTTCTTCTCCTGCATACAAACCCTGTAGTCAGTTAAAAAGCAAGAAACCAAACAACCCTCTTCCGTTTTTCCACTGCCTGCTATCCTGTTTTCTTCCAGAAAAGATAGGGCTTTTCTGTAGTAGATGGTTTTGCTCAGTTGCACCTTTTTCAGTGTAAATGCCCCATTCTTTCTCGGAATTCATGCAACAGAAGGCACATTCTTTTCAGGATAACTTACTGCAACTGAAACCTGTAAATCTGGTATTTGTAAAAGCTAAATGCAAGTCAGAATTGTACCAAATCAGTACACCTATCTAGGAGGTTTTAAATGTCATGGTTATAACAATGCTTAAATCTCAGGGGTTCTCAAGGTAGCACACAGGATGAGTGCTAGATACAGCTTCCAATGCTACGAGACTTTTTGTCATAACGTGGTGGAAGCATTGAGATATTACTCTTGTTCAAACATTACTGTAGGAAAAACATGGGAAGGAAGAGAGTGTTTAGAATGGGTGTCTTTCCTCTTTAATCTGTTTTTGGGAAAAAAAAAACACAAGAAATAGTTGTCTCTTCTTATGCTTAGATTAATTGCTGTTACAAGTAAGAAAAATTTGGTTTAATATTTTTTTTATGTCTTAATATTTAGGAACTGAACCAGTTCACCTAAAAACTGGTGAGAAGCTCCAAGTTACTTGGGAAAAAATGAGCAAATCTAAGTACAATGGAATAGACCCTGAAAAATTAGTGAAAGAGTATGGCATTGACACCCTACGTCTTTACATTCTGTTTGCTGCTCCTCCAGAACAAGATATTTTGTGGGATGCTAAAAGTAAGTTGGATTGTTTCTGTTGTTTGGTTTGTTGTGGTTTGGTTTTTTTTTCCTAGCGTGTTATATTTTAAACACAAAATTAATACAATTCTTGATGCCCAGGTTTTGGAACAAATTAATCAAAAAAGTGTAATAAACAAATTTTATTGCTTGTTTCTTTTAAAAGAGAGTGGGTCACAAAGCTGTCACTGAGAGGCAGGCTTGCAAGATCATTTCAAGCAGCTTACCTCTTATAAGCTAAAAGCATTATATGAAAAGTATTTAAGTGGTATTTTCTTCTGCAATCTTGGACTTCATTCTCTTTTTTTTTAAATTAGCGATGACTGATCAACTGAAAAGCTTTTTCTAATCATATCAGATTACAGATAAAACTTTTCAATATTTTGTTATTTCCATTTATTTATACACATGCAATGACTTGTAAACTGGACTATGAAATAGTTCTCAGAAAAATCTCATTAGAACATAATCAGAGTTCCTAGTAACTAGAATTTGTAGACATGGCATTTTTATGGGATTATTTCTTGAGTAAGTTAATAATTGCCCTCCTATGCACTATTTGGGGGCCTCTGGTGGTCTAGTGGTTAGGGTGCAGGACTCTCACCGCTGCGACCCGGGTTCGATTCCCAGCCCCCCGGGCAGATGGAGCTCGTCAGCCCTGTGTGGCAATCCATCTAAGAGAAGGTCACTCTAAACAAACCTACGTTCTGAGACCCTCACTGCCACTGTCCGAGTTTCACTCGGCCCCGGCAGATGAACCTCAGGATTAAAGGGTGGGCTCAGTTCAGCGCACGCTGTGTCTCACCTAAAAAATCCACTGCGCAGGCTCGAAGGGTTAATGACCTTTCCCAAATCTTCGCTCGCGAAGACTGGCCATTATTATTATTATATATGCACTTATTTACTGCTATCATGCAATTCATCATACTGACAGGTCTTAATTTCTTTTATCTACTGTGGTTCATGCATTTTAATGTAGTCTTATGCATTCATTTAAATCTGGCTTTCTTGTTGCATAAGGCTTTAATAAAACACTCCTGGTTTAACACCTGGTTTAAAAAGTTGTAGTTCTTTATTCTTTTATGTGTTAACTTCTTGCTACTTAGTTCAGCCTGCACTAAGCATTATTTCAGTTGGTGTCTGTCACCCTTTACATTCATGTATGTTCATTTATATATTATTGCTCTATTGTATGTACTGGAGGAGTGGGGTTTGACTTCTTAGTTGGCTTTCTGTCACTATCTAATCACAACAGTAGAGAGCTAGGCATATGAAAAGGTCTCTTAAAAAGAATTAACCACTTAGAATCAAGCTTCAACAGCTGCATCCCTGACGGTACACAGCTGAAGCAGCTAATTCAGTGATGCACAGTCTTTTTGCTGAATTTTTGGATCTTGAAAATAGAGTAATTATGTTATTGAGAGAATAGCATGTAGAAAAATCCTAGTTGCAAAGTGGTTGGTGGTTATGCATTTTTTAAGAAAGCTGAACACGTGCAGGTATAATGCTACCAAAAATGCCTTTAGTCATTCAAACCAATCTGTTTACCACTTGAGAAATACAAAGAAAGATTTCAGAGTCATGTCATGTTGAGAGTATTGGAAAATGTGAGCAAAAGGAGATTTTAGCAGCATCAAGATATTTCCAGGGGAGAAGAAAATCAAAAGTAGATGAAAAGCATGTCTTAAATGTTTAAGCTTTGGTCTAAATTTCTTAATGATAACAAAATTGTGAATGTTTAAATTGAAGAAATCAAGCAAGTTGTGTTGGGTTTGACCTTGGGCTGGTTGTCAGATGCCCACCAAGCTGCTCTATCACTTTGCACTTTTCAAATGGACAGAGGGAGGGAGAAAAGTACAAAAAAAGGTTCATGCGTTCAGATAAGGACAAGGAGATCACTCAGCAGTTGCCATCATGGGAAGAAAGACTCGACTGAGAAATTAGTTTAATTTCTTACAAATTAAAATTAATGAGAAATAAACACCTTCCCCCTACCCTTCCCTTCTTCCTGGGCTCAGCTTCATTTGCTCTATTGGGCATGGGGGAAGCTTCTAGCAGCTTATCAGAGAAGCCACTCCTGTAGCCCCTCACTACCAAAACCTTGCCACGCAAACCCAATACAGAAAATTGTCTAATTCAGAGAATATTAAACACTGGTTCTCAGTTGTTGTGATCCCTCTCTTCACTGGATGTATTTTGATAGCCTTTTGATGATTGCCCTTTGGACTGAATTCCTTGTCCTTTCAGTGGTGAATGTCAAAGCATGGTCTCATGTCATTCTCTGCCTTGGTGTGGGCAAAGAAGTCTCCCAGACTTTGCAGGTCCAGATGTGGTCAAACTTACCCAGCAGCTTATTACACCATTACTACAGTCTGGATCATTCCAAGCCTATCATGTCTAGATGATCTACAGCCTTCTGGTATGACTAGGAGATGGGAAGATTGGGGACAGCATAATTATCCCAGTCCCACCTATGAGAATTCATGAAGATCATGCGGACATAGTCAATCACCTTTACTGTTCCCAGATGCGCAGGAAGTCTTTCATCTAGTGCAGTCAGACAGATAATTCACATGTATTGCAGCCACTTCCATGTCTTTTACTTCTCCCGGTTTAGTAGTAGTCCAGGCAGTTCTCAAGTGCAGTTTCCAGAGCAGAATTGGAAGCTCTTGCTGGCTGGGACGTCACAGGATATGTTGAAACTGTGACATGTTGATACTGTGCATGCGGTGTGATGTAGTGCTGCACAGTCCAGTAGAAACACGGAACATCTGGAAGAAAGGGCACACCTCAAGCATACCTTCACTAGTGTCTCTGCATCACACCACATGGAGGACATGGCTGTGTGCAGCAGTAGCTTGGGGCCTCTCTGTAGCACGATCCTGAGGTCACAGAAACACATTCTTAGAGCAGCCACAGAGTGGGACTGATGCCTTTAGGGTCATGGTGAACAGCTTTATAGTCTCCACATCCCAAACTAACCTGTGTCCAGAGATGGTACCAAGGATCCTACTCTACTCATTAGCAGAATAGGATCTCTGTAGCAACAAAAGCATATGTGATTTCTAAAATCAAATTTTAAAAGAAATTTCTCAATTTGAAAAGTACATGTGTGCATACATGTGTGTGTATATATACATATATATTTGTATTCTTCCATGAGTTCGAAAAATGAGAGCATGTACAACTCGTTTGTTGAGTCATTAAAACACTAGATGAGCATTTTAACACTGACATAATGTTGGGTTATTTTACAGATTTTAGCAAATACTTCTGCTATATATGCTATGTTCTTGCTATATATATATTTTAAAGTCATTGCAGAAAAATATTTTTGTTTTATCTTATTGATTTTATTCCATTAAAGCAACCCGGAATTACTTTTAAAGGCATTTTTAATTGCATTGACATCTTTCATTTAAAATACAGGGGTTTTTTAAAAAAATGTTTAGTGTTTTTTGTCCTTTCTGCTTTTCTTTAAAGTTTTGGATTCATTAACTGTAACTGAAATTTGTTTCTGAAATCTTTCATTAATCTCAGCCGATGCTATGCCAGGCGTTCAGAGATGGCAGACGCGCCTCTGGGCACTTGTAACCAAAGTTATTGAAGCAAGGACTTCAGGAACCATGCCCAATCCTGAGCTTCTGAGTAAGAAAGAGAAGGCTGAAGCGAAAAATATCTGGAAGCAGAAGAATCTGGTGATATCTGAGGTTAAAAGAAACACTTACATAGTTTGTAACTGACCAAATAAGTTACTGCTTATGCTAAAACCATATGTTTGACTTACAGAGCCAAAAACTTTTTCCCCAGATGAGTAGTTCATTATTTTTAAGTGAATTATTCTCTGTATAAATTTATTTACCCACAAATTCTATGTGACAGAACTTATTTAAAGGATGTGCACCTCATTTAAGGGATGAAATGTTACAGCAGTAAAATGTTATCAATCTGGGATTCAAGTAACTCCATTTCCAGTAGCAAAACTGTAGGTGAGTGCTGGAGGTTATCCCTAAGGAAAGCTTTTGATCTGTTTGCTTCATACCTCATTATCATGCCTGCTGTTCCATATAGAATTATTTGGTGAAAATATATTAGAGTATCCTAAAAAAAATACTGAAGTGATTGTTTATCTCTACTTCTTTGTTGTCTCCTGCTGTGATTAGTGTCAATTCAATTATCGAAGACTCAGAAGGAGACTTAAATACCTGCAAAATTAGCTTAAAAGATTCTTCTGTGGATAAAAACTTTTGCCAGTTTAAACCCTGTTGTGAGAGACCTTCCAGATCTTTTAGCAGACTTTAGAATTATAATCTTGCAATCTATGAACAAGCTTTGACCAGCATAAATGGATTTACAAGAATGAAGGCCTCTTGTAGGGGCAAAGGGAGACTATTTTATTAAAGGAAATAAAGGATGATTGCTAATGCACAGTTCTCATTAGCATTGATTGAAGCTTTTAAAATTCTGAAACTGAGGAGAAGCTCAGTTCAATTTTTATATGATTTACTTTCCCAAACACGTGTGATTGCACATACGATGTGTTTGCGAACTAAAGTGATTTTCGTGTAAGAGGTAATATGCACATATTTCACAAATTGAGATTGATTATCAATAATACTTTTTCATTTAAAAAGCCAATATTCCATGTTTTAGAATTTCGAGTAATTAGTGACAGACCTTTTCTTCTAATTCAAGGTAACCGAGTACTTCACAAAGGACCATTTGTTCAATGCAGCTATTTCCCGATTGATGAGCCTCACTAATATACTCCATGTAAGTACGTGGTATTCATGAAGGTATTTTTCTCTCAGACCCTCTTCCTATTAGGCTTTATACAAAGCAGGAGCCTCCTGAACTATAGGTCCAGGTCATAAACAGTGTTACTGAGTCGAGAGCCTTGTTGAATCATTCAGTTCAAAAGCAGCACGTTCTAATATTACTGTAACCCTGAAATATATACACTTTTGCAGGAGGACCTTGATGATATTAGAGCCACTAGATTCTGAGGTTTGCATATGCATCCTGTAATTTTTGTTTAGTTCTGTTCTAGATGCATAGGTAGCTAGGTATAGGATGTTATAGAATCACCAAACATTCTGATTTTAAAGGGGTTATTCTTTGGAAGGAAAATCACACATAATTTTACATTCCTCAAAGACAACTTACACCACTGAACTGCTGACAAGTAAGAGAGTTTGCAAATCCTTCTTTTTTAAACAGATGTAAAAGTCTCCAGCATTTTTTATTTAGATTATGTTGTATATCAGCCAGTGGTGATATATGAAATGTAATAAACTATTATCATTACTTTTGTTACTACTTTTAGATCTGGTTGAGCAATCCTTCAAGGATATAATGGCAACCTGATCTAGACTAGAAATTAAATATAATTTTGAAAGTTTCAACTTCTTTATAGAAATAGCATTTTATACCTTATGGTTTCCAAGGAGATTATTGGCAAAATCAAGGAACTAAACAAAAAGTTAAGTAGATTATGCACAAGTGCTGTACTGAGATAACTTAAGCCTCAGATACTCTCGTGGTTTTTTTAAAAATTACATAAACAAAGATTGGTGTCCTACAGACAGCCAGATGTTTAAACGCTGACATATTTCTTGACCAAAGAAGTCAATGCAGTATCTTTGAAGAACAACCTTCTGTATAGCATACTGACACTTGCTGTTTCACTGCCATTGAAAGGAGGAAGGGGGGAAGTGGGCAAGGATTAAACATAGAAAGCAGATAGTAGCTTACTGAAATATAGTTTGCACTCACCTTGTTGCCCTCTGACAACATTTGTGGTCTGTGTCAAGCACATCACTGGTTTGGGACAATTTTCAAGTAGACAGGAGTGGGTGCTCTCCCACCAAATAATTCTCATAAGCTGACATGTACTGACATTTTTCTGTGCTGTTTCTTTAGAGGGGTGGATTGCAAAATAAATGCAGCAGCTGAATTTACCATGGGATGTAATCTCTCACACAAGGAAAGAAAAAGTTCATCCAACCACTTTAAGTACTGTATCTTTTCTCTGAAGTTACAGTAGAGGAATGAAGATTCAAATTTTGTCAGTCTTGTACCTTTTGCAAGAAATTGAACATTTTTTGTACTAGAGAAGAAGAACGCTTTACTAAACCAATCAGAACATCAAGCAGTAAAAGAATGTGCTGTGCTTTTCATTCCATAAGCTTCCTTCAGCTCTAAAACCTCACTTTGTCACTAAATTCAGCTTTACTTAAGTCGCTCTGTGATTCTGTACAACTGAACCTTATCCCAACAAAACCCATGCTGCATCCAGCACTGTTTGACTGTCTTTTACAAGTACTACACCTCTTCTCAGATAGCTCTGGTTTTATCTAAGATTACATTTCTAGAAATGGAAGCCCTCAAAATGATCTTGAGGACCACTGTTGTCCACATGAGTCTGTGTTCAGACTCCTGTGCTAGAGCAGATCCCCAAGGGTCTTCATCAGCCACTTCAGGATTACCTTCTAAGTGTTAGAGAGCACCAAGGATTGTGATTTTAATTCTCCAGAACTTTTCATAAGTTTCCAATTTATTGTGACGTGACACTGTCCTACGCAAGACACTGATTTTAGGTTTTATTACTGCATTTTCTTCTTAATTAAACTGCTTTCCCCTCCACCTCAGAATGTTAACAATTTGTTTTCTTTTCCTTGTCTTTTCACTTAGCAAGCTCCTCGGCCTCTTATTCTCCATAGCACAGAATTTGAGGATGCCTTGGCTTCCCTCTGCATTATGGTTGCACCTATGGCTCCACACATTGCATCAGAGATGTGGAAAGGTATTTATAGAAATAAACTTTATAGTGATGTTCCAGGAGTAAATACAAAAAGTTTGTAAAAATGTCTTTAAGTTAGTACACGAGTCACTTATCTCTGAATTCTTCATTTATCTTGTCACTTTCTGTCATAATTCCTAAACAAACTTGGAACTTATGGCAGTCCCAGGTCTCTCTTTTCTGCCTTTAGTTTCCATCTCCTCACATACAAAGGTTGATTTCTTGAAACCTTGAAAGGCAGAGAAAGGGAGAAGGAAAAAAAAATTCAGGACAGGACTGAGGAATTTATATGTCAACTGCTAGCTGCTCCTGAATATGAATGGCATTATTAGGAGCTGAACACCAGGACAGAAACAGTCCTTTTTCAAACAACTGTTTCAGAATCTTTGGACTACAAATATTTTCTTTCAGGAATTCAGGCAAAGAGAACCATGTCAGAGGGCTGTATGCTAAAAAGACTAAAGGAGTGCTCAATAAAAACCCTCTCTTGTAGAATGCTGCGGAGACTGAGGGACGTTATACTGCAAATTAACCTCTTGTGAAGAATGGGAATGGTAGACAGGACATCTTTTTTAAGATCTGTCACAGTTGTACAGGTCTGAATACTAAGTGGGCTCAGTTGTGTGGTGCTGCTACAGTTAAAGCCTGTGAAATAAGGGATGTGCATGCCAGAGTTCAGCAGTTGCTTTTAAGATTTACTGGGAAAAGTCCCAAGATGTATGTGGGAAGATAGGACTATATTCTTCTGCATTATGGCTGGCCACAAATTGCTATGTGGTTTTGGACCTAATGTTAGCTTTTGCTTGCTGTTTTAATGGTTTTATTTTCAACAGTCATCCTGAAACACTGTGCATTCAAGTGTTTACAAAGTAGTGTTACTAAACTGATTATATTTCAGTGTTGTGCATGGCCCTATAATAATGTTGATTGCCAAGGAAAGACTATTCTTTTTCAGAGCAATAACACAGAGGCAGAGACTATGGAAACAACAGGATTTATTAGGGAAAGTGGGTTGAGGTTTTTTGTGTGTGTGTTTTCATTTCCAGTGGTTTTAAAATGTCTTAATAGAGGCTTAAGTGTTTAGAAAAGAGTGGCATCAGACATGATCCATCTGGAGAAAGCTAATTCTGGTCAATGTTCTCTTATGCTACAAAGTACCAATACTGCTAAA